CCTTATCTGCACTATATGAAGCTACAAGTGATCAAAACCATTTAAGGAATGTCAAAGGTTGGAAGAGAAGAGGACATTCAGATGTTCTGCCATCCCCCAGAGTCACAGGGGGTGCAGGACCGAGGGCCTTAAGGCTGCTGCCCTCAGAGTGGGCACGCGGGAGGCTTCCTCTACAGGAACTCTTGGGGATTGTGCCGATCTTGCCCGCAGCAAGCCTATCTTCCATGGTGATGAGAGGGTGGGTAAATTTACCCTGGGACTGTTCTAATCCACCCCGTGCAAGTTCATAGAGATACTCTATGCTGACCTTCTGGAGTTTCTGTGAAGATTGAGATCCTCAGAAGAAGAAATCTGGGGAGACACAATCCCTCTTCATGAGTACTAGTTGACTGGTTTATTTTCACTTTCTCTGGTAAGGTTACTTTTCCCCTAGAGTTTGTCTGATCATTTTCTTGCTTATTCCTCTGTATTTTTGAGGATGTTGTGAAACTTAAAATTGGGCAAGCCCACCGGATTGATGATGTTTTATCTGTCTTTCCAATATATCCAAAAAATTATTCTCAGGAGAAGAATCTCAGCTGCAGAGACATTGGGTTCAACTCAGAGAAGGTGATGAGAAATGTATTTAATAGTTGTAATCCTTGATTCCTTTCCCTTTTTATTTTATTCTTTTTTTTTTCAAAAGGACACACACAAATGCACGCCAACTGCCTAGCTTAGCACCCACTCAGTTTCCACTTAATTCACTGGAATGCTTGTTTGGAGGTTTGCAGCTGTAAAAAATATGGTCTATGAGGTTCAGTGTCATAACTCACGCACCAGTTGGTCTAATCACAGTAAGATCCACCAAAATTTACTTAACACATGTTTTGGCAAAAATGCTCTCATCCAAACTGAAAAATAATTGCTAGCATGGTTACAATAGCACTCATTCAACAGTTTTTTTTTTAAAGTAAATAATTCATCCCCTCATAACCATTAGATATTTATGTCTGAAAAGAAATAAAGAAAAGACCTAGACTTCATGGTAGCCATTCTGAAGGAATTCTCCATGAACTGTTGAGGAATTCACAGCAGGAACACAAGCTCACTCCCCCACAGGTGCAGGCAGGGGAGGAGCCAGACAGAACACAAGGCAATAGGGGTGGTGGTGATTGCAGACAGCACTCCTGCTCGGGGGCATGAAGTCACCATGCAGGGATGTGCTGACTGAGCGGTCAGATCTCCCAGTTTTTCAAGGGACTCACAAGTCTATACTTCATGGTCAATTTTTGAAGCCATGCAATTTAAGTCAGATATTCTGGGTCTTGTCTTGAGGTTGTGAAACCCATGTTAAGGTCTCAAAGTAGAGCTAGAGGCAGTTCTTCACTCTTCATTCTTTCATATTATTCCCTTTGGTACAGAACTCTGCGTAACCTGATTCTGATTGTACTGGGTGGTGGGATGCCATGTTATGTTTTATTTTGTTTGGGCTCCAACAAAAATTAAAAAGAAAAACAAGACTTTTCTGAGTCAACCGAGTACACGTCAGGGGAGGTGAAGAGAAAAAAAAAGAATGAATACCCATATATGCTCACTCGTGCAAACTTCAAATGTTGTTTCTTAAGTCATTGGACAAATAGTTGAGTCCTTACTATGTGCAGGAACTACAAGTACATTAAACACAAAGCTGACGCCAAGTGCCTTCATGGCTCTCACAACATGTAATTACTCAGAAATTGTGTACGGCTGTTGTCATTTGTATCACAGAAGTGAAGGCTACGAGAGAGTGTCAGAAAGCCCTCACCCAAGGGCAGAGATAGTTTCCCCAAGGACACGGGATTTAACTCGACCCTTGAGGGCAGCCAGGGTTGGACCAGGTTTAAGCAACCTGGTGGAACTGTTGAGAGGAAGATGGCAGGTGCAAAGACCCTGTGGAGGGAGACCAGGGTGTGCGCGTCAGGAGACAGGATCATACAGTTGGGCGACACAAGAAAAGGAAGGACAGTCAGGGAGAAGTTAGGCAGCAAGGCTGGATCTCAAGGACATTTTGGTCTCGTGTTGTTTGTAGATCCTTGCTAGATAGTAAGGAAAATATAATGAGTTTCTATTGTTGCTGTTTTGTTTTTTTGTTTTTTGGGGGGTTTTTTTGTTTTTTTTGAGATGGGGTCTTACTGCGTAGTGCAGACTAGCCTTGAACTCACTTATATAGCCCAGGCTGGCCTCCATCTTGAGGTGATCCTCCTGCCTCAGCCTCCCTAGCACCAGGATTATGGCATGTGCCACCACACCCAGCCCGTAATGAGTTATCAAAAAGAGTAGTGTAGCGCAAGTATAGGTTTTTGAAAGTGAAAGACAGGGAGTGACAAAAATAGATATTTTATAAAATAATTTCTTGGAAATATTTGCATAAACTATGTCATCCTGGAGAATGCATACAACCATAGAGGGGAATTATAGGGACATGCAAGGAAATGAGATGTGTGTGTGTGTGTGTGTGTGTGTGTGTGTGTGTGTGTGT